CTCCAGCCCGTATCTCTCTCACCCCGAGTCGATTCTGTTCAGCGCCGCTTCACTGCGCGACCTGATGAAGCGCTACGAGGAGCACTTCCAAGAGCGGGTGAGGATGGCAGGGTTACTTTGCAAGTTTTACCCCCAATTACACTCTCTCGCCTGTCACTGTGGCTGGTGGTCCTGCCAGAAGCTCAGTGGTTCCTCCCTGTTGAAAGTATGCAGCCCTAGGTCTGCCCTTTTTAAAATTGTCAGAATGGCTTTTCAATGGAGACAACCGGGCACAGACTTGTATGCAAATGCACATCCTGGGTATGAGGATGATCGGGACAGTACTTAAGGTTGATTGATGTAGGAACAAGCTCCATGGAGTTACAGTGCTTTGTGGAAACGATGCGGTTGCTTGCTTCAGATGCAACAATCTGTCAATGCTAGCCTACAGATTTCGGTATTTACAATATTCATCTGACATGCAGTCCTTGACTTGCAGCTCCCTCGATTCTTCTGGACTGACAACACGCGGTCGGATGCGGCCAATCTGTACTGCGTCCTCAGCTCCCTCGAGCAAGTACTCGAGGACGCCACCCACTGCATGGCTCGTTACTTCGACGCGATCCCGGACAGCCACCCTCTGAAAGGTAAGGCTGTGAGTCCGTCCTTTATTTTGTTAGGGACAACCAGTTCTGATGGATATTGCAGGTTGTTCAACCTACGGTCGAGTGCTGGTTCGGCTTACTTACCTATGTGAAGCTTCAAACTGTGCAAGTGTTAATGTCGGCTTCAGCTGCAATACTGGAGTGTTGCGTCAAGCGAGTGGTCTGTTGTGGATGGAAAGTGATGCCTGTTCGTAGTTTGGATCAGCGTGCACTCCGGGTTAAGTATCATGACTGCAATGTTAAATTGCTCATGAGAAGATCTGTGTGCACTCTACTAGCTTACTCAAGAATCTTGCAGTGAAATCTTGGGATCAATCCTGTGCAAGTGACTTCATGCGAGACCTCAGTGGCGCCATGTTCGTGATAAACTTGGCAGGGGACAAAGGCACCTTGCGGAACCATCTTCTCCAGCATGCCCGCAAGAAGCTGACGTTAAAGGAGATCAACGCCAAGCCGAACAGCTGTTGGAACATCCACTGTAGAAGGACCATTCCTTCGAAGGAGGTGTTGGCAACTCGAATGGATGCTGTTATGAGGAAGTACGAGTTGGGGGGGAACGGGAACAATGGAGATAGGACTTTGGTGACGCTGGAGCTGCAGAAGGTGCATGAGAATCAACTGAAGCTCGTCCGGGCTGGAGCCTTGAGCGGTAAGCAATTGCCACAAGTTGCTGCCTGGGTCTTTTGACTCGACAGAATCCTTTCAGTCTGCGTTTGTTACCTTCTTTTTGAAGCCGGAGGTTCTTTCGGATCCTCCCTGACACTCCCCCCTCTCTACTTCATGCTCCTGTGCATGTGCCACGTGCTGGTCACAATCCAGTTAGTGATTGCTCATACGACCCAACTTTTTCCAAGTCAAGCCTAGTCCTACTTCCGATGTGGTGTTTGGTCTGTCTGCTTGGTGATTGGGTCTGCTTTGTCCAATGAGAGTGATGCTTCTGTCCCATGCCAAGCCCTCAAATCAAGGCTAGGCGGAATGAGTTTTATTCTAACATATTTTGTTCATGACATTCAACAGATCCGTTGGGCGTGGAGGACATGTATTACGACGTCAGCAAGCCAGGCTCGATGCCCCAGTTTAAGAGCATTCGCGGCACGTCGAAGCTTGAGGGCTACCACAAGCACCTCAACAGCCTCTTCTCCGGGGGCAACTGCTCTCCGGAACTGGCGGATGCGCTCCTCACCATCTTCAACTACCGCTGGAACATCACCTGCGGCATCACCAACCGCGGTGATCCGGACTTCCGCATGAACGACCACTTTCTCCTCGAGGAGATGCAAGCGGTCTGCCGTCAGATGGGCTGGCCCGACCCGTTCCCCGAGTGGAAGAAGGCTCCTCCCACGAAGGAGCGGTTTGGCGCGGACAATCTGCCGCCTGAAGTGCGGGAAGCACTCGAGATGGCGGCAGCGCTTGAGGAGCCTGGGGCCACCGAAAGGGACCGAGAGGCTGTGGCTCTAGAGGAAATCCTGGAGCGGCAGGCGCTTGCCAAGCAAGCCCGTGATGCAGGTATGTTGCTTAAGCAATGCTTAATTGAAGAATAAGTCCTGCATCAGTTGCGGCGAACCGGAGATTGTACTTCTCTTGACGAACCCTTGGATCAGTGTCTCTGGAGGACCAGCACATACCTTAGCGATTACAAACCTCAGAATTCTACGAGTCTGTGTTAAGCGTCTAACTGAGCAAACGTCTTCAAGGTCCACTTAGTTGTACAAATCAAATTTGGTAGAGGTGTTTGATGATGCTATGTAAAGCCTTGTTGGGCGCACTCACTATTTCGGGGTTGGTCGGCAATTTCACAATGAAAGTATTTCGAGCTTGCTTTTGGCATCCCGTCATCGCTTGGCAAATTGCTACTCAAACATTTCTGTTGCTTGCAGAGGGCCCCGTCTCCCCGCCCTCCGACCAGACGCGCGCGCCGCCGCTCTCTACGTCCAAGCAGTCGCGTGCAGTGCCCGCCCCCCGCTCCGAGCAGTCACCCGAAATGTTCGCCCTTCCGTCCGACCTCCCTTGCGCGCAGTTGGCCCCCCCTTCTGACCAAACGCGCGCGTCACGCT